CCAGATTGTTTTCCCCTCAAAGGCTTAATTAAGACCAAGGGCTTCAGATTGTCCTTTTGTACCTTTAGATGGCACTGGTCTGTCAGTAAGTCAAACTTCAGGAACTACCAGAAACTGACCAACAATAGACTCCCAGGTCCAAAGTAGAAAACAGGCATTTTTCACTTGGCTTTAAGGGAAGTGAACTGAGAAAATTCAACAGGGAAAATCGATGGTTTTAGAAAGTGGTAAGAATACTTCTGCAAGACTGTGAAATTAGGCAAATCTCAGTTCACATTTCTTCGTCTTCTTCTTCTTCTTCTTCTTTTTTTTTTTTTACTTTCTAGAATGATTCTAACTTGTAATGAAACTAAACCAATTATCTAGTTCCTCAAGTTCAGGCCTTATGTATGACTAACTACAGAAAACTACTTGTAAAAGGAGGTCACAGTGATGCCCATTCGGGGGGAACCTGGGTTCTACCCAGCTTTACCCATTAATAACATTCACTAAATCCAGTTACTGGCACAACAGTGGGTGCTCAAAAAATGTTGAATTCTCTCCGCTACATCCGCCTTTGCCCCACTGTAAGCTCCATGACCGTGGTGGGACAGCTCCCAAGCTCCCAGAAGAGCACTTGGCATACAGTCGAAGCACAGCTAGTAATTGCTGAACGTGTTAAGAGTCAAACAAAAATTTATCGCTCACCCTATCTGGGCGTTAAAATGTCTCTCCTAAACAAACGAAATTCAGATTATTATTCCAGCGTTTTCCAAACATAGAAAGATACTTTAACTCTTAGGTTTTTAAAAGATACTTATGGGTCCAGCACACTGAGCTCTATAGATCCTGCTCCTAAGCTTAGTTTAGCAGGAGGGATAAAGTGCACATAAATTATTATAATTAAGAGGTAGAAAAACTTTGCTGTGTGAATGGCAGCTGCAAAAGCAGTTCCGGGGAGCTCAGAAGAGGCAGAAATTACTTCCTTGTAGGGAAGCTGGGAGACGTTTAGGGGAGGGAGCAGATAGGAGGCAGAAAGAAATGACCTGCTTTAAAGACTACACGCGCCAGAACACGGAGATGGAGTGCAGAAGGCGTGCAGTCTGACGCCGAGACGATGTGAGGATGGCAAGTCGAAGATGAGCACAAAGAGCTGCGCTCGGGATCTTCCCTGATCCTACGAGGAGCAGGGAGTCACTGCCGGCTTCTGATTAGGGGTATTGTTTGGAGTACCTGTACTCTTTTGGAAAGACAGTTTGGAGATGAAAGAAATAAGCCAGAGGAGATGTAATGAGGACCGGAAACAGATGGATGGGTAAAGGCAAGAGTCTTTATGGGGACAGTATTAATTAGCTCTTGGCCATGCCCGGTGTGTGGAAGACAGGGGAAGGGGTCAGAAGGTACCAACATTTTAAGTCTGAGAGGCTAGAAAGATGTGAGTCTCAGGGCACAGATTACAGAAACGTTGAACTAGAACCCTGGGCAAATCCTCTGAGTCGGAAGGAGAGAGAGTAGACACTGAAGAGTCGGGCGCTGCGGCTCAAAGGGAGGCAGGGGTTAGGCGCACACCCCCCGAAGTGGGCACCCTCTCAGCCACTGCTATCTCCTCCCACCCACATCTGATGTGTCCCCGGGTGATGTGATGTCCTTCTACGGTGCTGGGCTGGAAAACCACTGCAGCCTCCCGGAGGGTGGAAGGACCCCCAGCAGAGTACTGCGGAAGCAAAGGAAGGAGACATTTGAAAAAAGAGACAACTGATGGTGTTAAAAGATGATGATGTTAGCACTTTTGGGGTCTAAGGAGAGCGGATCTTTAAAGTGAGGCAGTGGGGTATGGGTCATTATGTCTTATTTAAAAAACCCCCACCAATTTGTGATGAAGTCATGTCATGTACTGTATCATCAACACATTATATAATAAGATACAGTAGGAAGTCTATTAGTAATGAGAATAAATGGTATTTTGAGACACCTGTAGTAGGATGTGAAAATATTTGTGAATTCTATTGCCTAAAGTCACAAGTACTGCTAATTTTATTGCAGTGTCTTTTCTGCACTACTAATTTAAAGAAATACTAAAGTTCAGTTAGACATCAGTGAAAATAGATACGCAATTTTATTCCCAGCCATGTCTAAGGACCTTCTAAATTCTATCTATGGACCATCTGGGAGTTGGTGGATCCCACAAAAAGAACTCTTGAAGAGGACGGGTTCTCTGGTTTTATTTACAAAATTGCCTCTATTTCCCACTTTGCTAGAGTTAGGCTAAATGACTGTGTGACATCTCTGTGGGTACCACTCAATATCTCCCCTCTGGTTTGTCTCCCTGAACTTCAGAGGAAAGCTAAAAATCACATAGCATAGGCTTCCAGCAGCTAAGGTTCTGAATGTGGTTCAGGTACAACCAATCGGCATTTACATGAGATGTGAAAGAAGGAAGTGAATCAGAAGCTATGTGTCTCCTGTCTTCGCTGGCAAGCATGGATGTGGATGTACCAGGGTTTTTGTAGCAATCTTACTCTGGCTCTAGCGTCCATCACTAGATTCGTGGGTGCCAAGAAGCAGGGTCCTGGTGCATCTCATAGCTATGCATCCTAGCAGACACGGCATGGTTCTGGGGCACCAAAAGTAGCACCTGGATCATGGCTGTTTCCACGTTGTGGAGAGGGAGTGATGGGTCCTGATCACAGGAGAGGCAGCAGCTCCCTAAGAAGTGCCTGGGTTCTGCTGTATGGCTTTGAAGTCATTACTGACAGCTCAGAATAGAGTCTCTTTCCCCAGTCTTTGCCACACTGATGCAGTCAACATAATGCCCTGAAATAAATCTCTTCTTGCTTTAACTGGCTGGAGTGAATTCTGTGATCTGCAACTGAACTCTGACCCATATACAGGACAATTTATATTCCCTTCTATAAACAACCTGTGTCCTGGAAAACTACTCTCTCAGATGAGTTGCTTTCCACTCTTCAAGAAAAACTATACTTCCAACAGCACATCGGAGCCAAAATGCTGAACTGCCCATTGTTCTCTGACCCAAAATAAACATGTTCAAATTTATATCACATGAAGTACTACAGAAAACATGAAGAATTGTCCAAGAAATTCGCATACTCAGTTAGTTAATATTACTTTAACTAAAGTAAAAGGGAGAAGTCAATTACTGCTAAAAATATTGAATTGCTAAAGTAAAAAATATACTGAAATTATGTACCCATTTCTCTTGTTAACTGGCCTGCTTGTTATACTATTTGAGGTTAAAGGCAACATGGAAAGATTTAATATTTAACCCTCAAAGTGAGCCAGGTGCTACGTTAGTTTGGTGATATCTTTACCCAGGAAGTACCATGATGAGGGAACTAGTTGCTCTGTTACTCTGGAGGCCAAAGAGGAAACTCAAAATTACCTCTGAAAAGTTCTATTAACAAGGGGAACTTGAATTGAAAATTACTTCAATGACCTGGACAAAATGAAACGGATAAAAAGAGCATGAAAATAAACTGATGTGCCTAAGGTCTGGAGGTCCTAAAGAGCATGCAAGTGAGAGTTCACAGAAATCCCTAGATTGCATTAGTCATGCTCCCACCCCCGACCCCGTATGAGATATATACATAAAATACAGGAAAACAAATATTTTTCTCTCCTCCACTGCAGTTCTGGGATAGAGAGAAGGCAATCTTTGGGAAGTTAGAACTTTTAATGCAGAGAATGTACTTGTATTTTCTATTTTAACCATTATATAAGAAAATTGAGTATGATTTTGCATCTAATCTCTCTGAACATACATTTAAGTCTCTGGAAAGTGAACACACACCTATATTAGTATGATAACTGTCATGTTATCTTGCATCTTGCAAACTCTTATGAGTCAGATACATTTCTTAATTACGTGGAATTCTTTTAAAGAACAGAAAACAAATATACTTAAAATCCAAACTGAGTACAGAAACCAAGCATAAGAAATGTACATCTAGAGACTGAACACTGTTTCCCAGTTTCTTTAATAACTTCTGAAAACCCCCTTTGAATGTGGGTCTGACTTCGATTTTCTGTAACTCTTTAAAATGAAAAAAATCTTAAAACGATTACATATGTTCATTACCTTTGCTACTGGGCGATTGTTTTAAAACACTATCTTTGTGAACTTTAACTTAAAACTGTATGTGGGTAATTTGGAGTAACGTGGCTTAACAAAAAAAAACTTTGTGAAATACATTAGAAAAAACGACTGGGGCCCTTTTCCGCAGTGTAAGAATACAGGTATCTCCCTGGTTCCCCCAGGTCACTGACGTGCACGGTGGCGGGAGCCCCAGGGGACTCCAGGAGAGTCTCGGCGAGCCTAGAAGGAGGCACGACCGCTGCCTCCACTGCCTCCATGTTGCCCGTCCGACGAGACTCCAGACAAAGCCCCGGATCTCCAGGAAAGGTGTCCCCGCTGCAAGGCTCACTGCACCCACAGATCGCAGATACCAAAAGGCGAGAGGGCTTGCGTGTGGCAGCCGGAAAAACCTAACTTCAGCCAGGTTCCCACCGCCCGGCTCGGCCCCAGCGGAGCCCCGGGGTCCGCGCCTGCCGCCGCCTGCCCGGCCCTTTCCCACCTCGGGGCACAAAGAGGGAGCGCCGGGCGGGCTGGCCGGTCCTGGGAGGAAGCGGGCAGGTCGGGGCGCGAGCCCGGGGCCCGCCGGTGCCCGGGCCCTCCCGGGGCGCCGCGCCCCCGCGCCCCACACTTACCAGGAGAAGCAGCAGCGCGCCCCCCGCGCCCCGCGCCATCGCGCCCGCGCCTCCGCCTCGGGCCGCTCGCACCGCTCGGCGCCGCCGGCTCCCCGCGTCCCCGCGAGCACGCGCGCGCTCCTCCCCGGCGCCCGCGCCCCCGAGGGTCCCCTCCCCCGAGGCGGCCGCGCGGCCCTGCCCAGAGGCGCGGTTCCAGATGTGGCCTCCGCCAGGAAAGCGAGCCGGGAGCCCGGCCGAGCTGCCCGCCCAGGTGGGGACTGCGCGGA